TCACCTTGCTAATTCATTCTTGAGGGTAAGATTCCTAGAAGTGCAGTAAACAGTGCAGATGTTATAACTATTTATAGGGTGTTCAAACTCTGTCTCAGAGCAGGGGCTCACCTTTTGGGTCGAGGAAGGCCCATGGGGGTGAGGTTAGGATCTGGTTTAGGAATCGTTTTCCGGATGCGAATCTGCGAGACTTTCTTTAGCCTCTTCTCTGGCTCAGCCTGTGATAAAGGGTTAAGGAAGAAAGATGGTCAAATTCTAAGATATACTAAAATGCATAAACACATCCCTTCTCTTGACACTCAAAGACATTGCCTCATCAGCTTATAGATGATGTCTCTAAGAGGTTTTTGACAAATTCCCTTTTCTATTCCTGCTGTGCTTTCCACATTGGCTCCCATCATACTATTAAAACGGTATTGTATGTTTGGTTCTAGATAATGAGATAATAAATGTCTATCACTGTTGGTAAATGTTACCAAAATTCAACAAAATTATCATCCATTCAAATGTCATTATTTCCTAATCTTTTAATGAAAAAGATCCATAGTCCAATTTTCTAAACACTGTTTTATATATATTTGTACTGTATAGATCTGGACAAGTGCAGACTGAGACATCCAATTCTCTGTTACTGGTCAAGCAAAAAAAAAAAAAAAAAAAAAAAAAAAAAAAATTCTAGGCATGGTGTTTAGCCAAGGTAAAAGTTGGTAGGTCAGGACAGTCCAGGGCCGTAAGTCCACGATGGCATCACCACCCCTAGAAACTAGCAGTGTTTGCCACTTACCTCTTTCTGTTCCGGAGGGCTGCTCTGAGGCCGTGGGCAGGCTGCTGGCATCCCATCAAGCTCATCAAATCCAGGAACTGGGAACTCAGAGGATGTAAGCAGGAGCTTGCTGACAGCTGGTTCCGTTACCAAGCAAGACTTTGGTACCAAGGCAGGGAATGAAGGCTCTAACCTAGTGTCACCAAGAGAGAAAAAATCCAACAGGGCTTCACTTTCTACCTCTAGCGTACTCTGAATTACTACCATACAGCTAAAGACTTTCCTTCCGCCCAGGATGATATCTGCAGTCAACCTGTTTCGTAGCTGACTGCCTGACACAGCCTGTGTGCAACAAGCAGAAAACTACAAGGAAAAGATATTTCATTAGGATAGAGCTGCTTCATAGGATAAATGTAAAAGGGGAGGAGACTTTTGAGGGGAGATGACACTTAGTGAACTGAACAAATACCTGATACTCAAGTGAGATCAATCGCATCTACTGACCGAAGCTGGATAGAGGACAGGCCATGAACCAGCGTGAGGGGATAGTTCTGACTCAGTAAACTGGTTAGTGCTTTCCACGTGCTACTCATCATACCACTCTAATCACTACTTGTAATAAAGCACGGGTGAATTTCAGAGATGTGTATCTGAGAAATGTAGATCAGTACATAGTCATGCCATGCTTGACTCACAACTGCCCTCTCAGACACAACACACTCAGGTCACTGTGTGCCATGCCGTTCACCAGTGGGACCTTACCTCGGCTGGCTGCCGCTGGTGCTACGTGTAGCTTCCAAGCCTGGAAGAGGCACATATGGTAACATGGTGTGGCTGAAGTGAAGCAAAAGCAACAGGTTAGCACAGTGGGCAGGAAAGACTGGGATTCTACTGTAGGTACTGGCGTAATTACATCTCAGGGAGACAATAAAGAAACAAACAGATAAATAAATTTTTAAAAACCCCAAATTTATCACCAAATATATGAAAACCTCAGAACCATAAGAATTATACTAATATGGAGTCAAACGGTTATTTTCCAACTTAAAAAAAAAAAGAAAACAAAACAAAACAGCAAGAAAAATGGGATGAAGACTTTGAGTCTCATACCTTCTAACTAATTTAAGTGATTATTATTTTTTAAACATTAAGGATAAAAGTACACTGCTCAGCTCTGTATTAATTCTATTAGAACAAATTTTGCCAGTTATTAGAACTTCACACATACAAAAAAAAAAAATCAGGGAGAAAGCTATTTATTTGCACATACAACATGGCAGTGTCGAAAGCAACAATGAACTGGCTCCTTTGTGATGACGCCCTTATGGGTCCCACAGTAATATTAATCACTTGTAGATGCACTGATCTACGATGCTGGAATGTTTTGTGCCTCTCAAAGCAAAACCAGCAACAATTTCTCCTGAGTTTAGAACACAGCATAGGTTTAGTTAACAAGGTGTTTGTGTGACGCCCATACAATGCATCTCCTCTCAGAAGAAAGAGGAATTTGTTTAACAGCAATGAAATACACAGGCAATTCAGGTTCTAGAATAACATTTAGCACCAACTCAAGCTTCCCTAACAGGTAGAGGAAAAAGTAAGTGAGGCAGGGAAGAATACTGGAAAAGGAGCAAACCAGTCTAGGAAGCAAGGCCTTTGGTTCTTGTTCTAGATCAGTGGACACCCTCGTCAGCTGAGGTAAAGCCATCACCTGCAATGCTGGCTGTGCCATATGGGCAATGGTTTTAATCTCAGGTACTCTACTTCCAATCCAGCTAACTGCTAATGGCTGAAGGAAAAGCAATGAAAGATTGCCCAAGTACTTGGGCTCCTGTACCCATGTGGGAGATATGGAAGAAGTTCCTGGCTTCTGGAATCAGCAGATGGAAGAGTCTCCTCTCTCTGCCTCTCCAATTCTGACTTCCAAATAAATAAATATTTAGAAACTCCAATGGTTTAGAGGTAAAAGCCGTGGGCCCCACACACACAGCAGAGAGCAATAAGTCAGTGACATGTCATTACCATACTAGAAGACTAAAAGCAGTACACCATCTTTTAAAATCCCATGAACCATTCCAACTGTGTTTTGTGGCTGCCTTATTTGTTACCCATACCAGTGTGCCAGCATAGTTGCCTATGTGTGTGTGTGTGTGTGTGTGTGTGTGTGTGTGTGTGTTTGTGTGTGTGTTTAAAGATATGTGAGGAAAATGGGGAACACTGGGCCATTACAAGCCACTCAAGCCCCCGGGCGGGGTGGGGTTGCATATTGTGGAAAGGGATCTGAGGACGTACTGGAGTGAGAGCATGTTTGGCAGGGGAAGAATGACTTCTAGGGACTTCCATGGACTGGATCACTGCAATCAGGTAGGTGAGGGAGCTGAGATGGAGTGGTTTTAGAGGGGGGAAACTGGAAGGCATGTCTGAATCAGGCTGAGGCACCTGCCCACATGGCAGACCTAGGCTGGACTAAATAGCATCACTTGCTGCCCACTGGCACACATTAAGTTGGGGCTAGGAGTCATGCCTGGCTGGACTAGGCCACAGCACCTGCCTGTGAGTTTCGAAGCAAGGGTTAAGCCTTGTCAGGCTGGGCTGCAGCACCCACTAGAATGCAAAAGAACTGATCTAGAGGCAGATTCTATAGGGAACTTTTGGGCTCACCTCTGTTGGAGTGCAGTACCTGTTGGTCTGCTTGGGGAGATGGGAATGGTGAAAGGCTGAACCATGCCGTGCCAGTGCAGTTCCCAACAGCACCTGCAAAGGCTGGGACTGAGGGTAGACCACGATAAGATACGTCCCGGCCCCCTGCCAGTGCATGTGGCATCCAGGGTTGGGAACAAGCCTGGAAGGAGAACTTGGGAACCCCCTGCTATATCTCCTCCTGGGGGCCACAATAGTCCTGGAGATGGGCCTGGCCAAACAAGAACGCACAGCATTCCTCAGCAGCTGTGTGAGCGGAGTATGAGGCAAACTGGTCTGGGCTGGACCACAATATCTGCTGGCATGAGTGGCAGCCAGGCCAAGGTATGGGCTGTGCCTGGTTGGGCCATGCCAGGCTAAGTCAAATCACTTGCCAACATGTGCCAGACCTGGTGTGGGAATGGGCCTGGTAGGGAACTTTGCATACTTCCCCACTAGACTGCAGCTCAGAGCTACAACTGGGAGCAGACTGGCCTAAGCAAGACTGCAGCACTTGTCTGCACGCATATCGGCTGGGCGGGGGCAGGCCAGACTGGGATAGTGACGTTTCAGTACCCAGTGGTGCTTGCGAGAGCTAGTGGGACAAGTCAGGCTGGGACACAGCATCCGCTGGTTCACATGAGAGTCGGGTCAGGGGGTGGCCTAGGCTGTAGCACTCACTGGTGGAAGCCAGAATGGGTGCAGGCCAACTAGTTGGGTTGCAGCACCCACGGGCATATGCAAGATCCACTGTTGTCCTCCATCACCGGGTGCTGAGGCAGTTTGATAGCAAGGAGGAGCCCTTCCCTCACTGTAGACACAGGAGAAAAAAAAAAAATTGAAACATTTGTCTCAACTACCTTCCCTCTGTACCTCAACTCCTCCCATCCTAGAGACTTGAACGGGTGTGCATCTCTCTCAACTATGTAAACAACATTAAGAATAAAAAAAGAAAAATTCATTTATGGAGTTTTTTTTTTTTTAAGCTAAGATGCATAGGGAACTACAAAATATGTAACAGTTTTTTAATTGTCACTTAGGATGATTCCATACAGGGTCTCCCCCAGGCTGTTTGGATATTCGGGGGATTTTTGCTGCTGCTGTTTAATTTTTTTCAACTATAACAACAGTTAGAGGGCAAATGCAGAAATTTTAATGTTTTGTTATCCAAAGAAGCAGAAATAGGAAGGCTCACTGGCCTGGCCCCATCTCAGCTGCTGGGAAATTTGGGGAGTCAATCAGTGGGTAGATGATGTCTCTGTGTGTCTCTGTTTGCCAAATAAAGTCAAAGTATAAAAATAAAAAACAGTTAAGGACTTGGCGTGGCAGGTACTAAAGTCCTCACCCTGCACACACCGGGATCCCACATGGGAGCTGGTTTTAATCCTGGCAGCCCCACTTCCCATCCAGTTCCCTGCTTGTGGCCTGGGAAAGCAGCGGAGGAGGCCTAAAGCCTTGAGACTATATCACCCACATGGGAGACCCGGAAGAGGTTTTGGGCTCCTGGCTTTGAATTGGCACAGCTCCGGCTATTGCAGCCGCTTGGGGAGTGAATCAGCAAACGGAAGAGCTTCTCTCTATATCTGACTTTCCAATAAAAAAATTAATAAAACAAATAAATAAATTTAAAAGGCAGATGTTCATAAGCTAGATTTAGTTGCAGTTACACAATATTCAATATTTTTCATACATCAAATACTGAATTACATAATGGATATATAATGCTTTGTGAACAAGGTATAATTACTTTCAGTCTTAGGCTTTTAATGGGTACTTGTTTCTTTCAAAGTGGGGGTGGGGGAGCAAGAAAAGACATTCAGAAGACTTGACAGTACAAAGAATGAAATGGAGAGAAAAAGCATAGTACAAAACAGAAGAGTAGATCCTGCTGGAATATCAGTGGGAGAGGACCGACATGGTCCACATTTAAGAATTACCATTGCAGGGCAGGGGTTTGGTACAAGCCAGGAGACCGCTCGGGATACCCTCAGTCTGTACTGCAGTCCATGTTCTGCTCCCGACTTCAGCTCCCAGCTAACGTGCACCTGGGAGGCAGCATGTGTTCACATACCTAGCTGGGTCCCTAGTATCCGCACGGGAGACCCAGATGGAGTTCCTGGCTTCCAGCTTCCGGGGGACTCAACCCAGGCTCTTTGCCAGCTTTGGGGAAGGAACCAGCAGACAGATGAGAGATCTTTCTGTCTTTCTGCCTCTTTGATAAATCAGCTAAGCAAACTATTTTTAGAAAAGAATGTTGTTGCATTTGCTCAGCAGCGGGCTAGCAAGGTAAAACAGAAAATGCAGACATACAAACAGAACGATAGCAGGGGCATTTGCACGAGACTGGAGACAGGTTTTATTTTCTTACCTGTTTGTGGTGTCCAGATTCAGGAGCTCCTGGCTGGGAGTGGGATGAAGAGCAGAGATTTCCAAGGAGCAGGCAGAAGGTCCGTGCTGGCTCCAGATGGATAGCACCCTGCCCACTGAGTAGGGCAGGGAGCAGAAGACTTTGTTGGCTATGGAGGCTGGGGACCGCAACCCCTTCAAGCCCTGTGTAAACTGGGTCATGAAGAACCTCTGCACAGTCGGCATGTGACTGGAGAAGCTCCGTTTTTTGGTCCAGATTCGGTAACATCCTGGGGAACAAAGTGCTAGGAGCGTGTGAAGGCCAAGGACAGAGCAGTCTGCACTGGTCTTGACTAGGGCAGTCCCTCTGTAGTCCTGGGGAGGAGATGGAGACTGTGGAGGAGCCTGAGTGTGTGCCTGACCGTGGAGGCCAGTGTCGTCCCTGAACATGGCTGTCCCAGGGCAACTGTGGGACAAGAACAGAGAAAAGGCCCACTTGGGAGGTGGCGACGGGCAATGGACAGCCGCTCCTGAGGTGAGCCTGGCTGGAGCACAGTGCTCCGGGAAAGTCCTTGAGGACTCAGCCATGCAGTCTGAGTGGAAGGATACTGGGAAGATTTTGGAGCCAAACAGCAGCGATGGCATCTCGTGGCTCACATCTATGAAGCTCATTTTCATGGAATCGAGAGAATAAAGTGCCAAGGACTTACTGCTGGGCCTCTTATCCCACGCACCAGCTGCGAGATACACATTCAGCGGCATTGTATTGCAGGAAAAGCCATCCAGGAGCCTTTTGTATCGGGGCCGCTTGTAGCTTTTGGCGCTTGGAAGAAGCTCAAAGGAGCATCGCCGATACCGTGTAAGTTTCTGGGGCTTCGTGGCTGGCACAAGTCTGGAGGCAAGGACGGACAGCTTGTTTAGTAAAGCTGATTCTTTGGTAGGCTTCCTAAAATTCAGGCTCCTCAAGGGATGGCACGGAGTAGCCTTCCGCTTTGGTATGTGACTCACCAAGCTCTGGGGAGGAACGGGGTCAGGTTCTGATCGCATCGGTACAGACACAGCGCAGGAACTGAGAAGTCTGTAGGCTTTTGTGGGGATGGGATCAGAGGAACCCTTTAGTAAGGCAGAACTTCTTGCTTTACTGATCTTTCTCCCCACAACGACTGGCTCTTGAAAAGATACTTTCTTACACGTTCGATGGGGCTGCTTCTTCACTGGAAGCATCCCTTTCTCACGGGATGTGCTCCCAAAGGCACCGCGTAGCTGATCACACCCAGCAGCACTGGGATCTTGCACTCTCTGGGGGTCACCAGGGAGGCAAGGGCCTGTGCTCAACTCAGTGTCCTGCACTGGATGACGTAAGCTTTCCTCCTCTGGGCCTTTCAACTTCTGAATCTGTGCAGCAGTGTCACCCTTGGCCGGCTCTGCTCTGCTGACAACTTTTGTCAAGGCATCCCTGTCTTGGTTGGCCTCGGGCTGGTTTCTGTCTTGTGCCTCATTTGCGGAAGCAGCAGATGATGAGCATGGTTCTAAGGCTTCTTTCTGGCGGCTATGCTCCTCTTCCTTCTGCCGCACACAGCCCGACAGGGCCTTAATTTGTTGTTTGCCAGCATCACCAGGCCTCTTCCGGCATGTACAGGTCCGAAAGGCCTTGTGCATAGCACCGCCGCCAACCCCAACACGTTTTCTGGTACTCATCCCAGACTCCTCCCCAGCAGTTAAGCGACCCCGCGGTTTACTCTGATGTTCTTCAGTTTCTTTGTTAGCTTCCGTTTGCGCTGTCACAGGCAAATGTCTAGGACACTCTCTGCCAGCATTCTTCTCCAGGCTGATGTGTGTGCCGTCTCGCTCACTACAGTGACTCCCACCCCTGGGGAGGCCTTCCTTTGCCTCTTGCAGGGCTGTGCAGACCTTCTGGTTTTCCTCATCTTCTGGCTTAAGAATGTCTTTCAGGTCAGCTTCTTCACTGTTAACATTTGCTTCTGAATTTTCTTGAGCAGACACACACAGAGGTGTAGTTATCTTTATGGATTCTGGGCTCCCTACAGAGACACAGTTCTCATGTTGGCCTTCAGGAGACAATTCTCTCGAGGAAATTTCAGAGGTATTTTCCTTGTCAAATTGAAAACTCACCTCTATTTGTGATCCCTCCGTCACTCTTTGTGTTTCTTTCTGAGATGCTCTTTCACTTTGCTGTTCGTGACAAACATTTACAGACGTGTCTATTCTATCCAATTTCTCACAAGAGTCTGGACACTGCTGCGCCTCACAGCATTTTAAACACTGGCAAAGTTTCTCTTCGCATGACGTTTTTATTCCAAGAGATCCCACTGTAGCAGCAGCAACAGCATTTGGGAAACCTGAGTCCTGGTCGGATGTTCCTATACACGCACCATCTGTCTGAGACAAGGTACTCTGTAAGGTTTCTTGGAATGCCAGTCTACCTTGCCTTTCAACACTATCAAGTGTGCTAGACAGTTTCACGCCCAGTGTGCCTTGTGTGGCCTCATTAGCGTGGTCTGTGTAGACAACATCTGCCATGTTTTGTGTGGACTCCTCACAAGCAGAAACGCTTTCCAGAACTCCCTCTAGAGTGTCTTGCTTTGGAAAACAAGAGAGTGGGTTAGTACTTTCTGGACTGACCGGTTGTTCTGGTGGGTTGTCATGTCTTTCCACATCAGGATCTGAGCCGGCCTCCCTCCGGTCACTGTCTGCTAGGTCCTTGGCTGGTTTATCTTTGCATCTCTGTCTCCCTGACCTGTTTTGGTTACTCTGCCGATCAAGGACTTCATCTGCCTCATGACGGAGAGCTTCAGCTGCTGGGTTCACATTTTTACAACTGGAGAAGGTAACAGTGGGAGCCTGGTGCGACAATCTCTCAGGGCTTGGAATGTCTGCAGATCGGTTCAGTCCCTGTGGAGCACAATCAGAGATGTTACAGTTACAAGACGCAGAATGTCTCAGTACCTCTGGTTCCTTTCTTTCTACCCTTTCCTTACTGGGTTTGATGCGAATGGAGGTTTTGTTTGACAATCCATTACTTAACATCCCTGCTGCCATTTTGTTTCTGGATTTCTCTTCAGGAAAGTTGTCTTTAGTTTGCACCCCAGCACATTCTCCTTCCTCTGAGGTGGACCTCACTTTACAAGCGCTACTTTCCACAGCACCTTCTCTTCCCTGGGAGTGATGATCAGTGTATTGAAAAGCGTTTTTGCGTTTTGTTGCTTTAAAGTCACCAACGTCCAGGGTGATTTTTCCAGACTCAAAAGCAGCACAGGCAAGACATGTGTCCTCTTCTGGCACACTTTCTTTTACGCAAAGGCCACTGTGGGTATGTGGAAACTGAACCTTCTCACACTCCGTAACCTGTTGAGGCGAAGAAGATGCCTTCTTATTGGACAGAGGCCTGGAATGTACATCTTCGGTTCCTGAATCAGCTGTTTCTCTCTCATTTTTGAGGTTTCCTGCTTTGATGTTTAGGGTGGAACTGTTTGATGAGGCACCACAGGTTTCATGACCTGGTGGAGAGAGATGGTTCACTTTTGTCTTCAGGGGGACGGTCTGAGACTCAGTAGCGATGTCTGCTCGAGCCTCTAACGGAGGCTGGTGGCTTTGCTGGGCACCTTCACGTGCTGGGAAAGGCATCTCTCTGCTTTTGTTTAGGACAGAGACTGCTGGCAGCTCTGTGTGGTCTTGAGAATTAAGGGACACTTGTTGATTAGAAACACATTCACTTTCTACTTCGTTTACAGTCAGTTCATTGGTACAAGAACGTTTATTTCTCTCACAGGGAATGCCCTGTTCATCTACACACGGACGACTGTCACCCTGTGAGCTCTGTACAGTTTTTGACTTAGTTTTGTAACCAAGCTCTGGAAATGTTGGTAACCGAGCAGCAGCACCTTTCATGGATTTGGACAGGTCATTAGGTATAGATCTTCCCTGATCCTCTGGCATTGAACTCACAGGTGATTTTCTTTCACACTGAAAATCATCATATGCTACTTCATTTACAAGAGCGTCGCTACTCAGATTTCTCTGGACACTAACTAAGGAGTTCGAGTCTCTACTACTACAAACCTTTCCTTGTAACACATCTGGTTCTGCAGTGGCTGTCCATTTTGGTTCCTCGGTCTGCAGTGAGGAATAACTACTTGGTTGAGTGTGTCCGCCTAGGTGGCTCACAGCAGTCAAAGTTTCTCTGTGATCCTCAGGATTTGTCAAATTGCTTTGACTATCTGAGACAAGTTTCAGATTTTTATTATTTTGAATTGCTAGTTCCACAGTTTCAGTACAACAACTGGGCCCTGCAGACACAGAGCTCTCTGTATGGAGACTGCCTTGAATGCAATGGCTCTTGGGGACATTTTCCTTTGGAGAACCATCAGTTTCTTTCTCATCTGAACAACACTCACTGGTACCCTTTGTTGGCTGTTCGCCATTAACAACGAGCAGTTCCCCTCGTTCACCAACAGGAGTCAAAAGCTGTGCTCCGTTCTCTTCTTTGGAAGTCAAGTTCTTGCTTGGGTCACCTTCACCCAAGTGGGAATTGTCTGTCTTCTCAGCAGATCCCTTCAGCAAACCATCATTTTCAAAACTATATTCTTCTAAGGACATTCTGGATTCTAGCCCAGTCGAATTTGAGACATACGGCACATCTGAATTTTCCTCTGAGGACTCTATAGCTACCGTGTTTCTTGTGACGGGGAGATTGGCATGTACAGAACTGTGTTTTTCACGAGGGCGGCTAAGAACCTGCTGATGATTGTCATCTGCTTCACAGACAAGGTGTGACATACGCAACTCTTCCTTCTCACTGTCCACTTGGGAAATGGAACTGTTTCCTGGTAACTGAGAAGGACAAGTTTTTAATTCTCCACATTCTTTTTCTTTAGTGGTTGCTTCTGTTACTCCAGGGTCCATAAGATTTAAAAGCTTTAGGGAACTTAATGTGCTGGTTTCTGAAACCTCACCACTGGTCAGGACTCTGTCTACTTCTGGGTCTTTCCTGTACCCAGCTGACAGACCTTTACTCACATGGCCGTTCTCGTGTCCATCATCGTTATCCGTCTCAGTCCCACTGACCTTCATACCTTGCACTTCCGTGGATTTTAGCAGAGTTTCATTTACAATCTGTACATTTCCTTCTGCATAAAGAAACAGAATTCTCAAATCAGTAATCATTTAACATAAAAACCAGATATTTCACTTTATCACACAACACATGGCACCATCTAAAAAGACACCATTGAAATACAATTGCAAAATTACAGGGCAATACCACTGGTTTTGTGCTTATCACAAAGACCTTCATCTAAACCTTACTCAACGTTCATGCATGGAAGCTGGACAATTAGATACAATTTGGAGACAGAGGTATAACTCAGAGTCTTAAGAAGCTTCCATTTTAAAACATTATTTGAATTTAGGTAACTCACAGATAAATTCGCTCTTGGCAAAGGAAAAACTGGGCACAGCGCGGTGTCCTAGTGGCTAAAGTCCTCGCCTTGCATGCGCAGGGATCCCATGTGGGCGCCGGTTCTAATCTCAGCCGGCCTGCTTCCCATCCAGCTCCCTGCTTGTGGCCTGGGAAAGCAGTCGACAACAGCACAAAGCTTTGGGACCCTGCACCCGTGTGGGAGACCCAGAAGAAGTTCCTGGCTTCTGGCTTCGTATTGGCTCAGCTCCGGCCGTAGCGGTCACATGGGGAATGAATCATCAGACGGAAGATCTTCCTCTCTGTCTCTCCTCCTCTCTGTATATCTGACTTTCCAATAAAAATAAATAAATCTTAAAATAAGAAAAAAAAAAAAAAAAAAGAACAAGATGCATTGCCATGTGTGTTAAGCTACTGTGGTGGGACTCTTCTGTCCCAGTTAAGGATTCCAACAAGGTAAACATGTATGCAATCATACAAACTCAAAGATTTCACATCAACAATAAGGGTTCAACATACTGTCAGTGCTGAGGAATACATTACAAAATAACTCAGTGACAAGCTAATGGGGACTGGCACTGTGCTGTAATGGGTAGAGTTGTCGCCTGCAGTACTGGCAGCCCACATGAGCACTGGTTTGAATTCCAACTGCTCCCCTTCTGATCCAGCTCTCTGCTAATGTACCTGGGAAAGCAGTGAAAGATGGCCCAATTGCTTGGGCCCTTGCAATCATGTAGGACACCAGAAAAACCTCCTGGCTCCTGGCTTTGGAGTACCCCAGCTCTGGCTGCTGCGGCCATTTGAAGAGTGAATCTGTAGATGGAAGATTCTTTTTCTGTCTTTCCCTCTCTCTTCAATTCTGCCTTTTAAATAAATACATATACATAAAGATTTTGAAAAGAAACATGAACTATTGTCAAAAATAAAGCACTAGGGGTGTGTGCTCTGACTAGCAGTTTAGATGCCAGTTAAGACGCCCGCATCATGTATCATACTGAAGTGCCTGGCTTCACAGCTAGTCTCAAGCAGCTGACTCTAGCAACTGGATTCCTGCTACTCACGTGGCAGACACAACTGGGCTCAACCCCCCGGCTTCGGCCTGCCCCGGCTGCTGGTGTGGACACTTGGGCAGTGAGGCAGTCGATCAGATCTCGCTCAGAAGTAATAATGACGACGATGATGACGTAGAAGTAAGGCCTACCTATCAGTAACAGTTTTCAGTAACAGTAATAGATGGATCCGAATACATTCACAGCTGATACAGTTGAGTCCGTCTTGCAAGGCAGTGTCCTATAACCCTTTTATTTTTTCCATGTAAAATCAGTACTGAACTATAAAAACGTGTGAAGTAAAGGATAAAAAACAAACAAAAACAACAATCTTGTTAGATTTCAGGCAAACAGATACCTTTATTCCTAAGAAAATCTCCCAGGAGGTCTGTACATAAAAGTTCTTTGCTGGACTGTCTCAGGAGGTTCTCCTACAGCAAAATAAAAACAAAAACAGAAAAATCCAGACGTTATGGAGGACTCAGAGACATCTGTGACTGTAAATGTAAATTTTCCCAACAGTCTTCTCTGTGACCCCAGGAATGTGAGGGCAGTCACAAGGATTGGGATGTAAAGGAAACCCCATCTTTAAGTATAGTCAAATTTCTAGAACTTGAGCTTGAAAAACCAAGTTTTTTTTTGGAAGGATAATTGACCCAAAAGTGTCAACCTGTATTGCAAAAACCCAAACCAAACCAAAACAACCCTGGTAAATGCCTTCTGAAAGAAGAGATAAATTGCTGCAATGTCATGTTTATTTCACTTGGGAGGAAAATATTAAGAGATGGGATGTATGAGAATCTTAAGTCCTCCTTAGCCATCTTGGATATTATAAATCCGTTCTCCCCCAAACCTCTTAGATTGGTCATTTTCTTCCCATTACCCTTCACTGAAGGAAAAGGGCAAGCATCATCAGTGGCAACTGGTTTCTTTCTACTGATGAAACTCAGAAAAACACGACTGGGCAATGCCATGCCCTTCAGCCTCAGGATGGTAGGGTACCACAAGCTCCAACATCCCCTGTCTAAAATGTTTAGAACCTAAAGTGTTTCAGATTTTTACATATATGTATAATCACTGCAGTGCCTTTGGGGCCTAAGTCTAAACATGAAATCCATGACTATTTATATATACATATTATAGCCTCGAGATATTTTTATACAGAATTTTCAGAAATGCGCTTTTAAGATTTATCTATTTGAAAGGCAGAATTACAGAGACAGGGGAAGAAAGAGACTGATTTTCCAAACTGGCTGGTTCCCACCCCAAATGGTTTCAACAGCCAGACCTAAGGGCCTAGAATCCCATTCCTTCTCCCACATGGGTAGCACAGGCCCGAGTACTTCTGCTTTCTCAAGCACATTAGCAGGGAGATCCATTGGAAATGGAATAGCCGGGACTCATACCAGTATTCTCATGGGACACTGTCACGGCAGGTGTACATCTAGCCCACTATGCCACAAGGCCCTTGGAATGCCTTTCTTTTTAAAAAAGTTTGTTTTCTACTTGATAAGCAAAGGCAGAGTGAGAGGGAAGAGGGAAATCCCTTACCTGCTGGTTTACTCTCCAACTGCCTGTAACAGCTGCGACTGGATCAGGCCAAAGCCAGGAGCCAGTTGGTCCACATGAGTAACACAGGCTCAAATACTCGAGCAATCACTGGTTCCTGCCAGGATCCGCATCAGGGGGAGTGGGATCAGAAGAAGTGGGGCTATCCCAGCACTCTGGCACAGGATGCAGGTGTCCCAAGCAGCAGCTTATCTACGATGCCACAATACCTGCTTCCTAACACGCCCTAGTTTTGATGGTTCCTTGCCACATGAGATCAGCTGCGGCAACTTCTGCTTGTGCTGCCATGTCAACAATCCACAGATTCAGATTTTGAAAGATTTCAGCTTTTTGGACTGAGGCTGCTCAACTTGGCTAGGGGTCTATGACTAACCAATGATGGATGCTTTATATTAAACTTTCCTTCTGAGTCACTTCTCCCCTCTCCAAAGGTTTAACTGCTATTTCTACACTGATTGGAAACTTCAGTTGTAAAAACAGAGCTCAAAAGGCTGGCATCGTGGTATAGTAAGCTAAGCCTCCACTTGTGGTGCCAACCTACCCCATTGGGCTCTGGTTTGTGTCTCAGTTGCTCCACTATTTATGAAGGTCCTTGCTAATGGCCTTGGAAAACAGCAGCAGATGGCTCAAGCCCTTGGGCCCCTGCACCCGTGTGGCAGACCCGGAAGAAGCTCCTGGCTCCTAGCTTCGGACTGGCTCAGCTCCATCCACTATGGCCACTGTGGCCCTTTGGGGAGAGAACTAGTAGATGGAAGATCTCTGTCTCTTCTCTCTTTAAAAGAAAAAGAGAGAAGAAGAACCCAAGAAGGGAAGTGGGAAGGAAGACACTGGCAGTGGCAAATACAGACAGACACAGAAAAAACCTAGTCATGTGAGGAACTGAGGGAAGAGAAGTGAAGAGTCAGACACAGAACACAAGCATTCTTTCCTATTCTGTTGAAGTGTAACTGGTTCACAGAACACGAAGTCATAAACAAGCACCCACTATACTTGGAGGGAAAAGGTGTACTGCACAGATTCTAGCAGGAAAGCACACGGAACTTTTTTTGTAAATGGGAGAAGATAAAGCTCCTTTTTTTTTTTTTTTAAAGCTAACATCCTTTCTGCCTTAAAAAGAATCTAGTCAGAGTCAACAGAGAAAGCAAGGCAGAGACAAGAGATTTTTTATCACCGTTTCACTCCTCAAATAGCCACAACAACTGAAGCTAGGCTGACCTGAAGCCAGGAGCCAGGAGTTTCTTCTGGGTCTCCCATGTGAGTTTAGTGTCCCAAGGCCTTGAACCCTGCTCCTCTGCTATCCCAGACCAAGCAGGGAGCTGGATCAGAAGAGGAGCAACTCGAACTCCAACTGGGTATCCTGTAGGAACCTGGCGCCTCAGGCGGAGGATTACAGCACTATGACGTTATACCGGCTCCTGAGAAAGCTTTTACCATAGAAGGAATGATGGGAATAGAAAAACACCACTCAGAAATTACCAAATTAGCAATGATCTCAAGCAAGTACCATTAGAAGATATTAAAACTAGAGGCCAAATATTTCAAAGAGAAACATTTACATTGTCTCAATCTCTCCCCCCAGAGGATGCACATTAATCACAAAGGGGAAAACTTCAGAGCGGAGCAAAACCCACCAGACCCCACTCCAACTACCCAAACCAATGGGACTAAACCCTCTCCCAAAGAATGAAGCACCTGGCACAGGACGCACTAAAGAGAACTAATTTCACTTCTGTGGCACTCTTGCCCCAAAATGCACAAGCAAGCAGAGACGAGCCAATAAAGAAATGCTACAAAATGACCTACACTGCTTAAAAGAATGGAAGCTAAAAAACTTTCCCAGAGAACCATGGGATGGTCTAAAGCCTTGGGATCCGGCCCCCGCGTGGGAGACCCAGAAGCTCCTGGCTCCTGGTTTTGGATCGGTTCAGCTCCGGCCACTGAGGACACTTGGGGAGTGAAACAGAGGTGGAAGGGTTTTCTTTCGTATATCAGCCATTCTTTTTTTTTTTTTCCCTTTAAGGATTTATTTATTTTTATTGGAAAGACGAATGTACAGAGCGGAGAAACAGAGAGGAAGATCTTCTGTCTGACGGTTCACTCCCCAAGTGGCCACAATGGCTGGAGCTGAGCGAATCCAAAGCCAGGAGCCAGGAGCATCTTCTAGGTCTCCCACACGGGCGCAGGGACCCAAGGCTTTGGGCCGTGTTCAACTATTTCCCTTTCCCAGGCCACAGGCAGGGGGCTAGATGGGAAGCAGGACCGCCAGAATTAGAAGCAGGGCCCATATGGGATCCCAGCATGTTCAAGGAGAGGACCTTAACCACTATGCTATCATGCCAGGCCCTATTTATTTTTATTACAAAATCAGATATACAGAGAGAAGAGACAAAAAGGAAGATCTTCTGTCCACTGATTCACTTCACAAGTGGGTGCAACGGCCGATGCCATGCCCATCAGAAGCCAGGAGCCAGGAGCCTCCTCCAGGTCTGCCACACGGGTGCAGGGTTCCAAGGCTGTGGGCCATCCTCGACTGCTTTCCCAGGCCACAAGCAGGGAGTTGGAATTAGAATTGGTGTCCATGGGCCTGGCGCGATGGCGCAGTATTTAAGGTCCTTCACCTTGCACGCCCGGAATCCCATATGGGTACCGGTTCTAATCCCGGCGGCCCTGCTTCCCTTCCAGCTCCCTGCCTGTGGCCCGGGAGTCGAGGACGGCCCAAAGCTTTGGGACTCTTGCGCCCGTGTGGGAGACCCAGAAGAAGTTCCTGGATCTTGGCTTTGGATCGGCATAGCATCGGCCGTTGCGCTCCCTTGGGGAGTGAATCATCGGACGGAAGATCTTCCTCTCTGTCTCTCCTCTCTGTATATCCGCCTTTCCAATAAAAATAAAATAAATCTTTAAAAAAAAAAAAAAAAGAATTGGTGTCCATACGGAATCCTGGCGCATTCACATCACGAGGACTTTTAGCCGCTAGACCACTGCACCAGGCCCTCTATCTGCTTTTCTAATAAAAATAAATCTTAAAAACAAAGCAAAACAAAAAAACCTTTCTCAGAATAAAGATGATGAATGAAATACATAACTGCATGTGACAAGTGATCTTACATTTACATTGCATTTTATTTTAAAAAATGTTTATTTTCATCTACTTGGAAGAGACAGAGACAGACAAGTTTTTCACCTGCGGGTTCATTCTCCAAATGTCCATTCTAGCTGAAAGGAGGACAGGCCAAAGGGCCAAACCAGGAGCCTAGAACTGCAATTGCATTTCCCACACTGGTGGCAAGGGCCTACGCTGTAAGAAGCTGCACCAGTCAGGGACTGAACGAGCATTCTCACACGGAATGCAGGCGTTGCAAGTGCTGGGTTGTAAGCTCGCTACACCGCAAGCCCCTCCCCCTCCCAGAAAAAAAGTGGGTTTTTTTCCCTTTTTCTTTTGTGAGGAAAAAAATAGCAGTGGGACCATTAGCCAGCCATGAATATGATCTGTAGATTAGATAATAGCACTTGGAGCAGAGTTAATTTCCTGGTTCCGATGAATGTACTCTGGCCAGGTAACACACCGTCTTTGTTAGGAAATACACGTTGGAGTATTTAGACATCATGCTTGTAACCATGTTTTAAAATCACTCAGGAAAAATACGCAATGTGGTAAAATGTTAACAAGTGAGGTATGTGTGTGGGGGATTACTTGGACTGTTCTTGCCACTTTTGTTAAGTCTGAAGTCATTTCAGGATAAAATGTTGAGAAAATAATTACACATAGCTGCATTTGCTACTGCTTTCTTGCTTTTCTAGTTCTCAGGATGACAGTGAGGTGAGTGACTAGATATTATTTAATATACTCTTCCATGTTCCTGCT